AAAAAAGTTTTATTTTATCTCCCCTTAGCAACAACAAACTTTTTTTTTCTTTTCCTTCTTCTGTTCTGTGCTGCGCTTCGTTTTCTCATCACTTCGTGATGATGCTGAAGTTTTTTTTTTCTTCTTCTCATCTTCTCATTTTCATCTTCGAGTAAGGAATTGAGCATTCGCTGTTATATAAAGCTTGATGCGAAATCTACGTAAAATGATACTGCGAACTGTGGACTTTAAGATTAGATTGTAAGCAAGACGAAAAAAGATTGTGTGAAAAAAAATGTTATCGTAGGCGTATGACGGCTGTTAATTTTTGACCTGATTTTGCAAAATGATCTTTTTTTAAATCGTCTGTTAAAGAATTTAACGATTGTTTAAAATTTAAATTTATCGAGGTCAATTGAATCATAAAGCAAGAGATCTGTTCCTACTCAAAAATAATTCACATGAAAAATTATTGCACGAAAAAAGTCGACATCGTGCGCAACATTAAGGAAGGAAAAAAAAAGTTCTTTATTTTATCGTAATACATAAGAACCATAAAAGTATTATGGAATGAGAATGGGAGCTCACTATGTTCTGCAACTTACTCCTTTGTCATTTTTGCACAAGCGAATAAAAAAAAATCTATCCAATATTTTTGTTGTTTGTGGGATGGGTAGACAGTTGTCTGGCTCACTATTTAGATGTAGTATACAAGGTTATTCATCTACATTCACAGACAATAATGAAGATGTTTGAGAAAGCATTTTAAATGAGAAACTTCCCTTTTCATTTTTTCTGACCCTTTTATGAATCAGATGTGCTGTGAGTGTTTGTGAGAAATTATGAGGAACTAGAGCAGAGTCGCATTAAATTTTGATGAAAAACTGCGAAAATTCCAGAACAACGGATATTATTTTTGGGATATGAACCGACAAAAATAGAAAATTGTCAGACTGCGAACAAAGACAGTGACGCATTGGACTGTATTTGTAAAAACATTTCCACTACGCATTTTGCCATCATCATTCATCATTAAATACTTCTTATTCAAATTTCATCTTCTCGTGTAGAATAAAAAAGAAATACTCGAGCCCTTTATGATGATTATTTGGAACTCGGTGTCTCGAGTTCTCATAGAATCGTTTGTATATACATAAATATTTTTTTTTTTCGGCAACAATGAGAAGAGAAAAAAAAGGGAAGAGAGGAGTTCAAGGTCGTACAACGACGCTCATTTTTTTCGGCGCGCTAAAATCAACGCGGAATTAATAATATTTTTTTCATATTTATTTTAACATACATAATTCTGTATGTATGAGCCTCATGTATATGTAAATATTTTATAAAAAAAAATTTATTCTCTGTGTGACCATATAGAATGCTAATTGAATGAGCAGAAGTTCTATTCAGAATCACATACATATATTCCAATTCTGGTGGATGTGAGACAATGTTCGGTTGATTCACATGATATTCACCATTAATGGACATGAATGCTGTATTTCTTTGTGCTTTAAATTCTCTTTTTTTTTGTCTATTTAATTCTGATTGTGAGCTTGTGTTTGTTTCTGTCTGGAATAATATTTTTATTATTATTTCTGTTCATCGTCGTGTGTCTTTTTTGGAGATTTATCTTAAATATGATGATGAGAACAGACCAAAATATGAGAACGAGAAGCCTTCTTTTTTTGGCATTTTCCGAAACTGATTTTCTAATTTAATGGGCAGTTTTGGATTCCAATATGGCATCAGGTGGACAATAAAGATCTGTTGATGGCAATAAAATCTTGAATTTATAATTCTAGGCATGAAAAAAATTTCAGGTATTTATTTGACATATGGTGGAAAATCTCAAAAACAATAAAAGCTTGTCACACCCCCCAAAAAAAGTCTTGTTAATTAACTGAATCATCCTACATTCCCGTTGTAAGTTTCCAATTTAAAATCCATTTTGTAGTAATTTTCATGTCATCATAAACATTTCACAGCTCAGGTCTAATTTGTGGCCTGAGAGAGCGAATAAGATTAATATGAATCGGAAACTAGACATGAAATGGGTTGAAAATAATTGCATGAAACTCTCACTTTATTGCTGCGGCATCGTGTGTGTGTGTGACTATAAAAGTTGTTAGTATGAAGTAAAAGTGGCACATGTCAGGAGGCAAACAAAAAGAACAATGGGGAATATTAAATGTTACTGCTATTCGATACAGCAATGGAATTATTATATATACTCGCCCACATATCTCTTCCGATTTTTCATTCTTCATTAACAGCCTACAGGCCTCGCACACTCACATTGTTCTTTTATTTTGCATTTTCAATTAAAATATTCATCGTTATTGAGCCACTTTTACGCCTCTCGAAAATTCGAGAACTTTTTCCAATTAATGAATTTTTGGACAGTTCCCAAGAGAATTTAACTTATGACTAGCTGTAAAATAATCTATTAAAGTGCAATCTACAATGACAGATGAGATGAATTACTAGTGACTTTGAATGCGCTACAATAATAATGATTAATGTTCATTCAACTTAACTCCAAGTAGCTTTAAAGAGAAAATTAACATAGATGAACATAATGTAATGTCTAATTTAATTAACCATAACCATCATCATCATCATTATTGAGTACCATCAACTTAATCAAAAAAATTAAAATAAAAGCAATCAAATTTGCCAAAAAAAAATAGGAATGAGGGAAAAAGCAAGAATTAAATTTAAAGAGCCAATTAAGAACATTAGCGAAAATTGAATCCATAGTCGCGCCCTGAACTTATGTTCAAATCTACTCACACAGACAGGATGCAAAGTGAGAGAGTTCGCATGCAAAAGCCATTACATTCACAATACATATTTATGTGTACTACGTTTTCGCGCCAAAAAACCTTAAATGTCTCCATCTCACTCATTCCCTTCCGCATACACATGCCCCTCATCCCACTTTGCCTCCCAAAAAAAAGTTCAATTCCCATTTATAATCTTCCCAACAACAACGACAAAAAAGTACTTCTATGTGTGCTTGAGTAAGAGAGAGAAAATTTTATCATCGTCGTCGTTCAGATTCCACTAGCCCGGCTCGTGAAATTTGTTGACGTAGGTTTGTAGAATTTTTTTGCTGCTCTGCGTCTGCGCACTTGATACTACTCAATAGATTTTTTTTGCTCTACGCTCACGCTAGAGCTATAAAGCTATACAGCATATAGAAAATTTTATTCCATATGCTAGAAAATTCGGCTTCTTTTCTCTAGCATGGCAGAAGAGAGAAAAATCTTGTCGGTGCCAACAACCGCGCCTAAAAATTCGATATGTATAATGTGACGTCACATGGATATAGAAAATTCTGCCACATCATGGGGAAATGGCTCTTTTCTTTTAATATTGTTCAGTCTACGCGCATCCACATGGCACAATATACAAATTATTTTAAATACCGGCGACGACCGGTGTAAAAATTATTTTTTGTACCAGTAGAACTTTTATGAATCATAATTTTATAGTTTTTTTTTCTGCTCAGCTGAAGTGGGCTTTAAATGGCAATACTGAAATGCTGATTTATTGACAGTTTGTGTAATTATTTATGGATGGCTGGGTGTGGTAGACTAGTCTTGTTAATGACTGAATGGGAAATTACCATCTTCACCTTATATGTGTTGAGAATTTCCAATTAAATTAAAGATATGCTCTACATTTATGTTGGAGTGTGACTTTCCTACTTGAAAAACTTGAACTCGGCTTACGTACTATAGAAAGGTATTTTAGCTAAATGAATTTTTATGGCATATGTATGTGGCGAGAGCGAGAACGAGAGAATAAAAAAAAGCATGTATAATAACAATAATGAGAACCAATTAGCGTAGTAAGCGTCGTTATCGTTTTCAGTTTCCGATTCACATCAGTTAAAATCATAACAAGTATCATGGATGGAAAATATGCAATGAAATGAATAATTTCAAAATTTCTGGCTTCTGCCCCGACTACCTCATGAATTACATAAAAAAAGAACGTAATCATTAAATTGGAGGTGGAAGTAAGGAAGGAGAAGATGATGAAAGAATCATCAGACCGATGATCTTTCAATCTTCTTTACATTTATATGCTTATGATGACCGTCGTCGTGCATAAATGCTCAATGCAATAATTCTTTCATGACTTTTTAAAGTTTGTTTCTCTTTTGGCTCTTCTTCCTTCAATTATGATTCATTTATATTTTTATGTCATATATAAAATTCTTCATGTATTAAAGTAATAAACGGAAGAGAAATGTATTTTTTTATGACTATATTGAGAAGCAATTTCGTAATGTTGTATATTTTTTGGGAAACTTCCTCACTCAGTTCTGTTATGATGATTTGCAAATTTCATCTTAATTGATATTTCTAAGTATTTAGAAAATGGGTTTTTAGGAATGGACTTGAAGATTAAATTTTGTTTTGCTTCACTGATGCGAAAAATTATGCAAAAATTAATTTTTTTGGGGGTACTCAGTTATGATGTCTATCATTGGGGGGGGGGGGGGGGTTGATTCTAATTAAAAAGCATTAAAACTGTTGAAGTACAAATTGATTCTCAAGTGCAATTAACTTATCAATGAATTGACAACTCAAGTTTATTTCCATAGAATTTGCATCAATAAGTGGAATTTCCATGAACTTTTCATGACTAATCTTAAATTATTCTTTCAATTAAGCATAAGTAAATTTCTCATTTTTTCAACTTCTCAAATTAGTTAATTAAAATGCAATTTTTAATGTCTGCAAGTTTAACAACCGTTACAGAAAATAAGAAGTTATTGCAGATCCATAAACATGAGACGGGAAATTTTTTTAATTATAATTTAATTGAATTGGAACAGTTCTTCCTTCAATATCTCTCATTTTTTTTTATGAGTGCACATAAAGTTCTTGTGCATCCGAGCTACCATCATCCATAATAATGCATAACACACAAATACACGTCATATCATGGTAAATTAATTTCCCTCAATAAAAAAAAGAGCAATAAGTAAGTGATGAACTCACCTGAATCGGATGGAGTTTGAACGCCAAGTGCAATTGGATCATAGCGACTTCCTTTCGGTCTCGTGTAGCTGTGATCACTGATAAATTCATAATTTACTGTCGTTCTCTGTGATGACGCTGATGACATTGAGGATGTTGAAGCTTGAGACATAAGATTGTGAGCAAAGATTTTACTCTTATAGTCATGTTCATCCATCTGATCATCATCATCCATATCAATTATACTTGAGTCATCATTCATGTCTTCATAGTCTGATAGAAGTGTAATATCGGTAAGAATATCATTGAGATCTGTCGGTGATGATCCCTTATTACGAAAACTAGACATGAATGGATTAATTGGATCGTTGAAGCTATTTGATGTCTCTTCTAAATGTTCAGCTAATGCATTAATAATTTTTATTGAATTTGGATCATTAAACTTCATACGATTGCTACTTGGACATGGTGTTAAGTCAATATTATGTTTAAGATCTGGCACATCATCACCCAAACTTAATGGTGTATCCGGCCGTAGATTAACAATTGATGCATTCATTATTGAATCAAATTCATGTTTACTATTGCTGTCTATACATTTATTTAATGTGTTTTGACTTTTTTGCGTAAGTGCTGCTGTATTTGTGTTGATTCTATTACTGTTATTATTATTATTATTTATAAGCAATGAACGTCCATTTGATGATAATTTTGCATTACTATTATTATTATTAATATTATTATTGTTATTACTACTACTTTTACACATAATTGTCCTCATTATATTAGTCGGTGTCATAATTGTCTTCTGTGATTCAACCTTAACAGCAACCGTTGATTCCATCGCTGCTTTATCTGATTGCATTAACTGTGCTGTACATAGACTTAATCCTTTTTTCTTACTCGGATGTGATTTATCGACACATGTGCCTGACCACATACAATCATGATGTCTAATTTGATATTTGGATGTTGGAGATGATGGTGCTGTTATGAGGTCATTTAAATCCATATTTCCACTGTCAAATTCATCAAAATTTGGAAATAGGGCCTCGGATGGTTCCATACCAAGTAAATTCATGTCAAAGAATTCATCAAGATTTGAGGTCTCGTACCACTGTATACTCTCAAAATGTGAACTCAACATTGTGTCGGCTGACTTTACAGGCATCGCAAAAATTATTTAAATTATATTTAGTTATGCAAATTTTTTATGTCCACTTCCACTGGTATCGTTAGATTATGTTTAATTATTTTATAGTTTTTTTTGAAGCAAAAAATTAGACAAAAAAAATGTTTTGTGTATTAAAAAATAATTAAAAAAACTATCACAATTTTTCAGTATCACAATCAATTTTTTCTTCCTTCTTCTTTACTTCTTAAACTTCTTTTTATTATTTATTATCGCAAGTAACAAAAAAATTTGCTTCTTTATTCTCTCCTTTCTAGCAGAAAAACCTGGAAAGAGGAAAAAAAAATTCTTGTAATTCAACATTCCAATTCTATTATTTGCGAAAGAAATAAAATAATAAGAAATTCTTTTCAATGTGCACAAATAGCAGCAGCAACAGTTCGGCAGTTGCAAGATAAGACGAGCAAAAAAATTATTTCAAGTTTAATTAATGCGGTTCTTTCCTTCTTTTTGTCGTTTATTACTGTTGTTGTTTACTATGTGTTGTACGGTCGGAAATAAGTAAGGAATGATTGTTGTGCTACAAGGTTGCAGCGTCGTCTAATGGTCAAGCTGGTTACTAGGGTACAATTCACTAGAGATCGAGATTTATATAGTGACTAGGGTAGGATACCTAAATTAGCCAACCCATGACATTTTATAGGATCTCATTTGAACTATAAATACATGGGATTCCCAACATCCACCGATTGATATAAATTGTAAGCATTTTTCTTGCGATAAACAGTCGGTATGTGGTTTTTATATCACGATAAGTTGCCATAGCAAGTCGTACTATCTTGGAATTTCCCATTGTAAAATTTAATTCAGCGAATTACTTAATATGATGTATTTTTAGCAAATGATTCTAAATAAATAGTTTGAGATGTGTTAAAACCAGATCTTTAAAATATAATTCCTATTATTACCCAGCCAGATCGCACCCCTCATTTTCGCGAAAACATTTCATTTCAATGTACAGTAAGTGAAGGCATTTGGCAATTCATGCTGGACCTCCGGTAAGATTGTGATCAATTGCGAATAAAATAATGAAAAAAAAATGAGAGAGAAACTGGTTTGAATTTGAGCATATGTAAAACCAACTGTACATAAATTATTATTGTAGAGAATAATAAAAAGAAAATTTGTATAATAGGCTGAATGGACCTCCTCAAAAAAATTTTATTTTTCATGTTCATCGATCAATTCTGTTTTTCAGCGGGTTTCTTAAAAGATTCACAAGGCGCTACTGACTCAACAAAAATCAATCAAATCTCTATTGCTCAGTAATAACGATGGATATACTTGCCAAAAAAATATCTATCTTGTCTCGCTTGAAAGTGGACGAAAGGAACAACAAGCAAGAATAATCGAAAGAATTTATTTTCATGTTATTGAACCCGCAAAGAAATTTTTTTCCATCATCATCATCATCATCATGATCGCTGCTATATTTTTGTGAACACCACAAAAAAAAATAATATACATTACAGCAACAACAGCAACAATAACAAAAATAACATTGTAAAGCTTTAAAGCTGAGAAAAGATATCAAAAGCCGGTTCACATTCTCACCATGCATGCATGCCATGCCGCAAACCGGTCTCTCGAATATTTTTTTTTCTTTCATTTCTTTCTGTGCAAAAAAAAATGTTGATTGCGCCTTTCTCTTTTTTATTCAGTGATTCCACATCACTATATACAATATTTTTTTTTATTCATGTATACATCTACATAAAAGTGAGCTGTGAGTAAGAGAGAGAATGTGTCGAGACATTGCCTTGGCTTCCACGACAACGGCTATGACTGAGAATAAAGTACTCAGTTCAAATAACTCTGCTATGGGGCTTTTTATTGTTCTACTTGGTCTGTTTGTATCTGCTGGATTCTGGGGACTACCCAGGGTACCCTTGACTCTATATCGAATCGTGAAGATTGTTTATAGATTTTTGAGCTATTCAATCTTTGTTATGATTATCAATCTCAACGGGCTATTTACTCTAGTTTTCACATAAATAAATACTTTTTTAATAAGCAATCACTAATGGAACGAATGGAATTTTCTTTTCTTTCCTTCTTTCTTCTCAACGTTTAAAGTTAAAATAAAGGCTAAGTTGAATATCGTGAGGTGGCTAGAAAGAGCAAAATGAATTTCGCACAACATATAAAATTGTGTTACTTCTTCTCGCGGAATTGACATAAATTAAGTAATAAAGAGAGCACTTAATAAAAGCGAAGCCTAAGCAGAAATAAAAAATTCTTTTTAAATTCATTCATTCATTCATTCATAATCTGCTGTGCGCTCTTTTGTATTGTGTTTTATGTGGATGTATATGGATCTGTTTTGGTTGACTGACTTTACGTATGGACTTGGGGGCCGTTCACTTATTACGTAACGCTTTTAGGGGGGAGGGGGGGTCTAAGATTTTGTTACGGTTCAAACAAAAGAATTTTTTTTTCATACAAATTTTGTTACGAGGGGGGGAGGGGGGGTCTAAAAAGTAGTTTTTTCGCGTTACGTAATAAGTGAACGGCCCCTTGAGGTTTGGCAGATAAATTTTTTTCAGGACGACCATCTCTTGAGACTTCATGTCAGCTTTTATTTATTTTTTATAGGGGTCCAATGAATGAGAAAGTAAAAATTCCATTGAAAAATTAATTAAATTGATTAAAAGAAAGCTAGTGACAGAAGATTGAATAGCTTCATTTCTATGGATGTTTTGGAATATTCTGGATACGAAAACCATTATTTGAAGGTATCTGATCCCCAAAACCTTGCAAATCCAACGTAAATCCACAAACCTATTACAGACGCTCATTCTACCCCCATTTGTGTCACACCATTAATACACCAAGGAATGCAAGAACTTATAAGCTAGATGCTTTCCTTCTATATGTGAATTTATATATGTCAAATTGGATTAGAATTGCTGCACAGCTCGGAAAAATGCCTTTTCACATTATTATCATTATTGACAATTTTCCACATACGTGAAGCCATCTTTCATTGAACTGAATTTATTTTCTGTATGATTCAACAATGTTTGTTTCTTCAATTAGGCACTGGTGAGAAAAATGTCGAACCATCAATTATTTTGTTACCGCCACAATACAATTGCAAACATTCAACCACAGGAAAAAAATTTTATTGAAATAGAAAACTCTTTTTTTTTGCTTTTGTGGCACTTTTTTTTCGAGTGAGCGCGAAATAAATGGAATTGGAGCTTTAATTCATGAAAAATAAATTTTTTTGTTAACATGAAACTGATTGTGTTCACTAACCGGTATCTTAAAATCGATGGCATTTTTTTTTTTTGGTACGAAAAATCAACCGCAAAAGTTTCTCTTGGGTTTTTAAAAAAAAATCAATTTTTTTTATCTGCGTAGCATTTCCGCTATTAAATTATTGAATAATGTATGGAACGAGTAAGGAGTGGGTGTATTAGGACGACTTCAGCCTCCAGTCCTATCAACTTCATAAAAGTTGCGCCTCACACTTTCCACTTTTCTTCTCAAGTGGAATTCTTGTGTGATGTCGCGTGTGGGTGGATTCGCATAAATAAAGCAAGAAAAAAAAAATCTTCTTCTTGCACATCTGCTAACTGCTTAACATATTGTACACATGAAAAGAATCTTAAATACTAAATAGGGTCGTGAATTATCGCGAAAGTGTTGATAATTCTATTATTTTTGGGGATTTGTCTATGATTAGGTTTAAAAATTGGAAAACATCAATTTAAGTCTCAGAATTTTATTTTAAATTGTTTTGAAAAAAATATTTTTTTTTCTGAGACACAAAAATTTCCCATTTTTAGAACTGCACCATAAACAGCCACCAAGAATAAATATTCAAGATATTAATCACAAAACTCGTAAATATTATTTCTGCGAGGGTTGTCGATTGACAATCTGTTATCAACTTACCATCAACTTTATGACTTTAATGTCAATCGTCTGATTTTATCCAGGAAGGTAAATATTTTCAAAATTTTCACTTTTTGTAAAATTAAAAAAAAAATTGTTTATTTATTTATTTTTTTCTCAATTTTTAAAAATTCTTAATTTTTCAGTTTTTTTTTTCACTTAAGTTTTTTCTTCACCATACACAATATATTCTGATTAATTTTAATTTTCTTATTAGTCACAACGACGTGTAACTTGCTTATGCTGTTGGTTGTTAAAACCGCGAATGACTTTAGACACTGATTTGATTTTTTATTTCTTATTAAAAATCCATTTAATTGCTCTCGACTTCTCACGTTTAAATGATGTGTCGCAATTTTAGGCATTTGAGTTCTGTATGAAAAAGTCAAAGAATTGGAAATTGAAATCTTTTCGGTTCACTCTTTATCAATCTTTTCAACTCTTACAAAAATTCTTCATCAATTGTTTTTTTTTTATTATTATTTTCTTCTTTTTCTGAGAATTTCTTTTGCTCTTTAAATTCTTCAAACTTTTTTTTGGGCGCTTTCGACACACAAAAAAAACTTGTTTTTTTCCTCCTTCTTTTTAATATTCAACGTTCAAGAAATATTATTTATTGTGAAATAATTCTTAATTAATTCTCTTTTTTATTCCTTTCTGTTATTCACTCCATTCGCTATTAGCTTCACTTTTTCTGTATTTCTCTTCTTTTTTATTATTTCTTTTTCCAAAAAAAAAGTAGTTAAACCTTTTTTTTTTCTTGTGTGATATTTTTTCAAGAACGCCTCGAAATTGCGTGTGAATAGTCAAGCGGTTCTAACTTGAATAAGTTGTGTTTCAGAAAACCTATCGTCATCGTGTCGGCACTAAATGTATTTATTTTCGTGAGAGTATTGAGAGAATTTTTTTATTTCTTGTATATTCGACACACTCGTGAGTTGAGAGACTTCATTACATTACTTTATGTGGAATGGAAAGTTTTGGCAATTTTTAATGATAATTTGACTCGGATTAAATTTTTAACTGTCAAAAATTATTCAAATTTAATGAATTTCAAAAAATTTCTCAAAATTATCTCGTACATTTATGATTATTTTCTGATTAGTCATCCGAAGTGCCGAAGCATTTACAAATACATTTGTAATTATTTACATAAATCTCACATACACAAATGTAAAATTCTCTCAAAATTTTTATTTTTTGTTTCTTCTTCTCTTTTACACACATTTTT